TTGGCAGAATAATGCTATATTAAAAGACACATGAGTCTTAGAATAAGAAATACAAAATAGTTTGTTTTGGGACTCTTGAGATTTGGGTTTTTGTTTTTTAATTTTTTCTGAGACAGAGCCTCACTTGGTTGCCCTCAGTAGAGTACTATGGCATCACAGCTCACAATCACTTCAAACTATTGGGTTCAAGCAATCCTCTTGTCTTAGCCCCCCAAGCCTCTGGGACTACAGGTGCCCACCACAATACATGGCTATTTTTAGAGACAGGGGCTTGCTCTTGCTCAGGCTGCTCTTGAACTCCTAAAGCTCAAGCAATCCACATGCCTCTTCTTCTCAGAGGGCTAGGATTACAGGCTTGAGCAACCTTCCCTGGCCTGTTTTTTTGAGGCTTTGTTTTTAATTTTTAAGTTACTTTAACGAAGCTAAAATTGTACTTATAGAATGACATTGAATTCCACAATAGTAGATCCAAAAAGCTGAGGAACTGCATTACATAATGCATTATAGTCTTAAGTATTTCAGGGATCATAAAGTCTAAATTATTTTCACATTAATACTAAGATTTTTGGCTAGGTGCAGTGGCTCACACGTATAATCCTAGCACTGTGGGAAGCCAAGGTGGGTGGACTGCCTGAGCTCAGGAGTTCGAGACCAGCCTGAGCAAGAGTGAGACCCCATCTCTACAAAAAATAGAAAAATAAATTAGCCAGGCATTGTGGCAGATACCTGTAGTCTTAGCTACTGAGGAGGCTGAGGTGGTAGTATCCCTTGAGCCCAAGAACTTGATATTGCTTTGAGCTACGATGGTGCCACAGCATTCTACCCAGGGTGACAGAATGAGACTCTGTCTCAAAAAGGTACTAAGATTTTGAGGGAGCCTTTTGCACTGTGTTGAGATTCGTGTAGATGGACCAAAAGCAACAGTGAGTAAAAGTGCTGGTAGAATAGTCAATGATTAAGTGAAATATTCATCATACTCTACATTTCTATGTACTTAGAATTAAGAAAAATAGAACCAGTTCCTCCTTCCCCTCCCCTATCTAGTCCCTTCCTTTCCTTCTGGTAAAAACGTCAGTGACAAAGTGAAATAGTCATCATAGTCTACGTGGCTTTGTATTTACAGTTAAGAAAAAACAGAGGCCCGACGTTGTGCCTCACACCTTTAATCCTAGCACTCTGAGAGGCTGAGGTGGGTGGACTGCTTGAGCTTCAGAAGTTTAAGACCAGCCTTAGCAGAAGCAAGGCCTGCTCCTCTAAAAATAGCCAGGCATTAGTCTTCCCAATGGCTTGAGAGGCTGAAGCAAGAAGATAGCTTGAGACCAAGAGTTTGAGGTTGCTGTGAGCTATGACACCATAGCACTCTACCAAGGGTGATAAAGTGAGACTCTGTCTCAAAAGAAAAAAAAAAACAAGAGAGCCAGTTCCTTTCTTCCTCTTCTTTCCTTCCTTTTCTTCTTTCCCTTTCTTCCTCTTCCCTCCCTTTTCTTCCTTTCCCTTCCTTCCCTCCTTCCTTCATTTATTTAGACAGGAACTTGCCATTACCCAGGCTGGAGTGTGATCAGAGCTCAGCACAACCTCAAAATCCTGGGCTCAAGCATTCCCCCTGCCTCAGCCTCCTGAGTACCTCAGACTACAGGTGTCTGCCACCTCGTCCAGCTAGTTTTTCTGTTTTTAATAGAGATGGGATCTTGCTATGTTGGTCAGGCTGGTTTTGAACTCTTGGCTTCAAACAATCTTCCTGCCTTGGTCTCCCAAAGTGCTGAGATTATAGGCATGAGCTATCACTCCTAATCTGAGCCTGTTTTACTTTAAAATGTCCTTGATGAAATAGTAAAAATTAATTTTACTAAATCTCAACTCCTTATAGACATCTTTTTAATATCGTGTATAACAGAATGATAACTATGCATAAAGCATTTCTGCTGCAGACCCAAGTGAGGTGATAAAGGAAAAAGTAGAGTCACTAGCTGAATTAGCTGTTTTGTTCATTTTTAGTGGAAGGAATGATAAAGCAATTGTGGTTATTTAGACTTGAGTATCTGGTAGACATTGCCTCAAAAAGAAAAAAAAATACTAAGCCAGTTATGGTAAGGAAAACAACTGACTGTACCACATGCAAGTCAAAATTAGACTTTTGGAAAATTTATAACCACTATTCTGAGCTTGATAACTACCCAGTACTTAAAGAATTTTCTAATAAGATTACTGGTGAAATAATGAGCATGTTATTTTGGTATCTTAAATAATAAATTCGAAAACATTTGGAAGAGTCACGTAACTCAGTGAACCAAGATTTTCCAAATGGCTAATACATACCACTATAAAAGTCACATATGGATAAAAAGATTGATTCAGTGTGCAGAATAAACCAGTACATTCTGAAGAATATCCCTAACAATCTGGAAAAAAACTATTAAAATACTCACTATTCCAATCACCTTTCTGAACAGGACCAAGATATTCTTCAAATAATACCCCCAAAATAACACATTACAAAACAGATTAAATGCAGAAGTACATATGAGAATCCAGCTTTTTTCTAGTAAGTCAGACATTAAAGAGATCTGCAAAAAATGTAAAGCAATCAATCCCACTCCTCTCACTCAATTTTATTGCTATTTTGGAAACTATAGGTTTTCATTTAAATGTTATTTGTGTTAACATGTAATGTTATTTTAAATAAATAAGTAGAAATTTTAAAAAATTCTCAGTTTTAATTTCTTTGTTTTTTTAATTTTTTTTTTTTTTTT